GCACAGCACAGCACGCCCCAGTCGTCCAGGCATACCAGGCGTGGCACTTTCTGGACACCATAGGGGGTGCGAAGGGGGTGGTCTCTCAGTGCGGCCGCCATCCACGACATTGTCGCAAAGCCTAGCAGGCGTGGCACTTTCTGGACACCATAAGGGTGCGCTGGGGGTTCGGGCGCTATGCGTTGCAGGCTCGCAGGGCGTGGCAGGCATGGGATTTCCTCGACACCACAGGGGGGGCGCTGGGGGTGGTCGCCCTATCCGTTGCGGCCTCGCACAGCGTGGCAGGCGTGGCACTTCCTCGACACCACAGGGGGTGTGCTCGGGGTGGTCTTCCTATCCGTTGCGGCCTCGCACAGCGTGGCAGGCGTGGCACTTCCTCGACACCACAAAGGAGTGCGCTGGGGGGGTCTCCCTATCCGCTGCGGGCTCGCAAAGCGTGGCAGGCGTGACATTTCCTCGACACCACAGGGGGTGCACTGGGGGTGGTCCCCCTATCCGTTGCGGCCTCGCAAAGCGTGGCAGGCGTGGCACTTCCTCGACACCACAGGGGGGGCGCTGGGGGTGGTCGCCCTATCCGTTGCGGCCTCGCAATGCGTGGCAGGCGTGGCACTTCCTCGACACCACAAGGGGGTGCGCTGGGGGTGGTCTCCCTGTCCGTTGCGGCGTCGCAAACCATGGCAGGCGTGGCACTTCCTCGACACCACAGGGGGTGCGCTGGGGGTGGTTGGCAGGCGCGGCACTTCCTCGACACCACAGGGGGTGCGCTGGGGGTGGTCGCCCTATCCGTTGCGGCCTCGCACAGCGTGGCCGGCGTGGCACTTCCTCGACACCACAGGGGGGGCGCTCGGGGTGGTCTCCCTATCCGTTGCGGCATCACAATGCGTGGCAGGCGTGGCACTTCCTCGACACCACAGGGGGGGCGCTGGGGGTGGTCTCCCTATCCGCTGCGGCCTCGCAAAGCGTGGCAGGCGTGGTACTTCCTCGGCACCACATGGGGTGCGCTGGGGGTGGTCTCCCTATCCGCTGCGGCCTCGCAATGCGTGGCAGGCGCAGCACTTCTTCGACACCACAGGGGGTGCGCTGGGGGTGGTCGCCCTATCCGTTGCGGGCTCGCAAAGCGTGGCAGGCGTGGCACTTCCTCGACACCACAGGGGGTGCGCTGGGGGTGGTCTCCCTGTCCGTTGCGGCCTCGCACAGCGTGGCAGGCGTGGCACTTCCTCGACACCACAGGGAGTGCGCTGGGGGGGGGGTCTCCCTATCCGTTGCGGCCTCGCAATGCGTGGCAGGCGTGGCACTTCCTCGACACCACAGGGGGTGCGGTGGGGGTGGTCTCCCTATCCGTTGCGGCCTCGCAATGCGCGGCAGGCGTGGCACTTCCTCGACACCACGGGGGGTGCGCTGGGGGTGGTCGCCCTATCCGTTGCGGCCTCGCAATGCGTGGCAGGCGTGGCACTTCCTCGACACCACAGGGGGTGCGCTGGGGTGGTCTTCCTATCCACTGCGGCCTCGCAAAGCGTGGCAGGCGTGGCACTTCCTCGACACCACAGGGGGTGCGCTGGGGGTGGTCTCCTTATCCGTTGCGGCCTCGCAAAGCGTAGCAGGCGTGGCACTTCCTCGACACCACAGAGAGTGCGCTGGGGTGGGGGCGCCACACCATGAAAGCTGACAGCCTTGAGAGCTCCACGCGGGGTGGGGGTCGGGGGTGCGCGGGCGAGAACTCGTATCTGATCCAGACTTGTAAACACCCTGGCTCAAGCCAGCTCGTCGCGCCTGCGCTCTCACGCGGGCGTTCCTGTAATCCTATTTCGCGCGGCAGCCATGCCCCCCAAAATCGCCTTGGACGCGCTGCCACCTCCGTGTCTGGCGATGCAGACTGCAATGGTTCAATGGTTGTGAAACGTTTTAGCGCACGTGCGATCTGGTGCGAGCCTGGAGATTTCCCCCTGGATGTGACATGGTTTGTGAACACACGTGACATAAAATAAGTATGTGGGGTCCCTCGGTAGCGTAACTTGCCATGGAGAGCGTGACGCGAGCGTGACGCTGCCACACCCCAAAACCAATGGACATCCTGGGGTCTCAGGGTTGGGTTTCTTGTGGGAGGTTTCTTGTGGTCGGGCCTCCGCTGTAGTGCGCACGGGGCCGAGATACAAGTGGGCGAGAGATAGGGGCAACCCTGGGATCTGGGCGTCACATTTTTGTCCATAGCGGGCGAGTTTGCCTTGTGTCGGGTTTCACGGCCATCACAGATCGACTCCAGCGGGCGAGTTTCATTTTCGCATCTTGGGCGAGATACCAGTGGACGTGTGCAGCCCTGGGATCTGGGCGTCGCATTTTTGCCATAGTGGGCGAGTTCGCCTCGTGGAGGATATTGGGCGAGTTCCATTTTCGCATCTTGGGCGATATACCAGTGGGCGCGTGCAACCCTGGGATCTGGGCGTCGCATTTTTGGATAGCGGGCGAGTTTGCCTTGTGTCGGGCCCCGGGGCCATCACAGATAGATCTGGCTTGAAAAGTGCGGAGTCCGGGGTGACGGTAGCGATTTCCCACGATGTTCCCAATTCAGGTTTGCATTCCGGGTTCTTAAATACTTGAAACCTGTGGTTGAAGAAACCTGTAGGTGTCAGACCCGGTCGCGCTGGGATTCCCGGGGTTTCCCCGTTTTGTTTTTTTACGAGGCCTTGCCCGGGGCCCTTGATCTCGCGTTCCTGGAGGCTCCTTGAGTTCCCCAGGTTTTTTTGGTTTTGTTTGCTTATTGTTTTTGAAGGCCCGCCGTTCCCAAGTTTCCCCAGGTTCCTTGGTTGTTCTGCCTCTCTGCTTTTGAAGAAATACCCAGCAATTCCAACGAAGCAACGCAAAGAAATGCCAAGCGAGGCCAAACAATGCCAAGCAATGCCAGGCAAAGCAGCGCGAAGAAATGCCAGGCGATGTCAAGCAATGAAAAATGCAAAGCAATGCAAAGCAATGCCTAGCAACGTCAAGCAACGCCAAGCAATGACAAGCAAGGCAAGGCAATGCAAATCAATACCAAGCTCTGCAAACAAAGCCGAACAATGAAGGGAATGCAAACCAAAGCAAATCAATGCCAAGCGATGCCAAGCAATGTCAAGCACTGTAAAACAAATGTCAAGCAAATCAAAGCAATGCCCAACAACGCAAAGCAATGCAATGCAGTGCCAACCAAGGCAATGCAACGCCTAGCACTACCAAGCAATGCCGCTTAGCAAGCGTTCCCCCAATTGGGGTCGTGCTGGATTCAATGTATGTTTCGCAACGTCGGATCTCAAGGTACGTGGGTGCGCAAGGGGAGGATCTACTTGTGAGCGAGGGCGCAGCGCGTGCGGTTTGAGCTTCGGCCCAACGCAGATGGCCTGGGAAGCGGTAGGTCCAGTGCGAAACCCCAGCGGAAGCATCATGGGTTTCTTGTTGGTCACAGCGCGAGTCTGATGTTCCAGACCAATGTGGTGGGAGAGGGAGGGGAAGAAGGGGGTTCGGGAGGAGAAAGGGGAGGTGGAGCAGGACGAGGAGGAGAAGGAGGAGGAGTCAAGGGATCCACTGTCCGATTCAGAAGTACGTATGTTTGCCAGCGTGGACCCCAAATAGTAAGTTGTTGCCCTATGGATGTGCAAGGTATGTGGTACACCCATGTCGTGTGATATATGTGGCGCAAGCTATGCCATGGACCCCACGCAGTGCAAGAAGTACGTGGGGCAAGTTACGCGGTGCAAGCTATGTGGTGCAAGCTATGCCGTGCAATGTGGTGCTACCTACGTGGTGCAAGACATGTGGTGTAACTTGTATGGTGCAAGCTGTGTTGTGCAACATTTTTTGTGTAAGCTAAGCAGCAACGAGGAGGTAACGGACGGCTACGTGGCAAAACCTCGCCAGGCCTACCTAGCGCAAGCCGCGGCCACGGGCGACAACGTGGCGAAACCTTGCTGGACCCACCAAGCGCACGAGGCCGCCACGAGGCGGCCACGGGCGGCAACGTGGAGAATCCCCGCTGGACCCAACCAGTTCTTGATTCAGTCAGACAAGTATGAACCCCTAAATGCAAGCATTATTTTGGTATTTGGGGAGCTCATATGTCACTACTGATTCTCGTACTCGTACCCATAGTTGTACCCAGATTAAAAGTAAGTTGTTGCGCCGCTGATGTGTAGGATATGTGACGCCAGCTATGTGGTGCAAGCTGTGTGATGCAATCTACGTGGTGCAAGCTACGTAGTGCCAGGGGCGTGGTGCAAGCTAGGAGGCTCAAGCTGTGTAGTGCAAGCTGTGCGGTGGAAGCTATGTGGTCCAATCTAGGCGGTGCACGCTATACAGTGCAAGCTATGTGATGCAAGCTACGTTGGGCGACCACGGGCTGCCACGGGGCGGCCACTGGGTGGCCACGAGGCGGCCACTAAAAAAATCCCCAGGTTACCCATTCAGTTCTTTAGTGGAACAAAGAAGGGCCCTTTCTTTGCAAGCGCTGGTTGGGAAATGACCCACATGTGGCCAGTCATTATTTGAACCAGAACATGAAAATGGCAGTGCCAGATTCACGAACACTTCTCACGATCTCTCGTGCGCAGCGTTCTATCTGCAGGCAGCTGGCTCCACCATCACCACCCTCTTCTTGGAGGCCACTGCAAGCAAGGAAGTCCGGCACGTGTGATTCGAAGGCGCGCGATGCAGGCCAGGCAGGCCTTGGGCCGCCATAGGGAGATTAGCCTCCTCCTCCTCCTCCTCCTCTGCCTCCTCGTCCTCTGCCTCCTCCTCCTCCTCTTCCTCCTCCCCCTCCTCCTCATCATCCTCCTCTTCTGCCTCCTCCTCCTCATCATCCTCCTCCTCGGCCCATCCTCCTCCTCCTCCTCCTCCTCCTCCTCCTCCTCCTCCTCCTCCTCCTCCTCCTCCTTCTCCTGAATGCATGTCTGATCTCATCTGGGATCTGTACGCCCCCCGCCGCCGCCCCCCTGGTCCGCCCCTGCCCCCGCGCCCGCCGCCCCGCCCGCAAGGACGGGGTCGACTACGTGTTCTTCTGCAAGCTGGTCAACGACCAGTCGCAGGACGAGCGTCTCGAGCTGGCCTCCTGGGCCGTCTTTTGACCTCGCACCCGTCCTCCGCGCCTGTCGCGGCGGCGGAGGGCGGCAACGGCGCGGGAGGAGGGCGAGAGCGGGGGGAGAGAGAGAGAGAGAGAGAGAGAGAGAGATCGTGCGTAGAAGATTGGCAGTTCCTCTTCTGCTACATCCCTCCTCGTCCTCCCTCCCCCCTCGTCCTCATGATTATGTTCTTGCTTCTCTCATCCCTCTTCTCCCACCGAGGAGTTCGAGGACGTGGAGCGCCAGGAGGGGAAGTTGGAGGAGGGGGGAGTGACTTTGGAACATCTCTGGACCTCGCTTGAATCATGAAAATTGCATGCGGGCCTTCCATCTGGATAACGCGCTCTCTCTCTCTCTGTCTCTCTCGCTCTCTCTCTCTCTCTCTCTTTCTCGGAGGCTCTGGGATGAGCATGAGAAGCAGCCAGAAGGAAGAGGCATTAACACCAGCTGAGGAGTAGCAAGATGAGGAGGACAACATTGCCTACATATTTCACCACATCACCACTAGCGTCGCAGCGTGTAGCATGAGACCGCCTGTCGAAGAGGGAAAGCATCAGGCAGGAGGAGGAGAAGGAGCAGGAGGAGGAGGAGGAGGAGTCGAAGGAGGAGTCGGAGGAAGAGGTGATCTCGGACACCCTCTGGACTGCGCCTGGATCTCCGGTCAGCCAGGAGGTCATGGAGAGGGCGCGCCCCAAAGCAGCGATCCCTCCTCACCCCACCTCCTCCATCTCCTCCTCCTCCTCCTCCATCCCCCCCTCCTCCTCCTCATCCTCGTCATCATCATCATCATCATCATCATCATCATCAGCAGCAGCAGCAGCAGCATCATCATCATCATCATCATCATCATCATCATCATCCGCCTGTTCATCCCTGCCTCCATGCGTCCCTCTCTCCCCCCACCTCGCCTCCCTCCATGCTCCTTCCTTGGCCCCTGCCTCCCTGCCTCCCCCCACCGTCGGCCCACGACCGCCGCAGGACACGGGGTGCTACTGCACCGACGCCGAGCTGCAGATGATGCTGGCGAAGCTGGGCGGCCCGTCCGTAGGCTGCCGCTTGGCGGGTGTGCCTCCGCCAGGAGGAGCAGGAAGCGGAGGACAAGGAGGTAGAGGGAGGACGAGGGAAGGGGAGGGAGGCGGAGGAACAGGGAGGAGGAGGGAGGAGCAGGAGGAGGAGGAGGAGGAGGGAGGGGGGAGGAGGGAGGGGGGAGGAGAAGATGGAGGAGGAGGTGCGTGCAGCAGGAGGAAGAGGAGGAGGAGGAGGAGGAGGAGGAGGAGGAGGAGGAGGAGGAGGAGGAGGACGGGGAGGAGGAGGAGGAGGAGGCAGAGAAGCGAGGGGAGAGGAGCGAGGAGAGAGGAGCGAGGAGAAAGGAGAGAGGAGAGAGGAGGAACTGACGGAGGAGGGAGTGATTTCCAGGGATGCTGTGGCTCTACAGGGTTTTACTGCGTCCTGGGGGTCGTCCTTATCTTGACCCATCTGTTTCTCCTCCTCATCCAGCCGTAGCTATTTTAGGTCAAGCCATTTTGGTTCAGGTTGCCACGTTGTCAAGGCAGCTGGCCAGGACAGTTTCTTGGCCATCAGGGGGCAAGCCCACACGAGGCTCCCTGGTGGCATTTCGGCCTTCGCTCCTGACGGAGCAGTGTTCACGGCGTTATACCTACCTCTCCTGCTGGTTGCGGCATGTCGTGGCGTTCACGCGCCCCGTGGCGTGACCGCGACAGCTGGAGCGGGGCTGGGGCTTGGGTGTGGAAACCCGATTCTTGGCCCAAGAAGAAGAAGCAGAAAGATACGTCCTACCGCGTGGGTGGGGCAGGCGGGCACTGGGAGTACGCTTGTTACGGACATCGCCAGTGCAGCCTGTGCGGTGGCAATTACGTTCTTCTCGACGGTGGTCACGGCGATGCTGATCGACCTGATGGTGGCCATGGGGTTCCCCCTGGAGCCGCTGCGGTGCCGATGCCACCACACCTCATGAAGGAGCTCGAGGATTGGTTGGCCCACTACCCTGCTTTGGCTGGGGTGGCTAAGCAGGCTGCCGCTCCTCTGCCTCCAGAAGTTCATGGCTAGTCGGATGCAGAGCTCGACAGCATGGCGACGGCTGGGCAAATACCCTTGGCTAAGAAGGTCGAATTGGCAACCAAGAGTGAGCGCCTCGCCATGCAGGAAGTTCAGCGGCGGCTCGAGCGATACAACAAGGCAAAGGCTACGATGGAGGAGATGAGCACAATCACGCGGAGGCGGAGCAGGCCTTGGAGAAGGCTCGTGCCGCCACGCGTGCTGCCGACACGGAGAAGACGCTGTTCGACGTCAACCAGTTCAAGTTCGCCAAGCGTGCCGAGGTCCTCGACCAGCGGCGCCGTCGCGAGGAGCAGGAGGCTTTCCTCGCCCGCCGCGCGGCCCAGCCTGCCCCTGTGGCAGGTGGGGCCCCGCTCGGCGGCGCGCCGCCTGGGGGCGCCCCGCAGGCGCCGCCTGGGCCTGGCATGCAGCCTGGCATGGTTCCTGACAATGCTGATGATCCATGGCGGCGTGGCCGCTTGGTGGACTTCGTCTTTGTGGAAGCCCACCTCCATGAGCTCTCCGATGAGACGCTGGGCACGCTCACGGAGTTCACCGCCATATCGCTCGATCAATGGAAGAACGACCGCCGGCATCTGCAGCGGATGCGCGGCCTCCTCGAACCAGGTCAAGATGATGCGGCTTCTGACGTTGCCAGCGAGGCAGGACATGATGCCATGGAGCCCAATGATCGAGACCAGTTTCGAGACCTCAAGAGACGCGCTGCTGAGAATGGAGTGGGCGCCCAGCAAGCCCAGCAGCACCATGATCTACTACAGAGGCAGGTTCAAGAAAGAGCGACGAAACGCGCGAAGAAGGGGCAGGCCGTCACGCGCGACATGCACCGCGTCTTCTGCCAGAACGCTGCAGACCAGCTCGGGCGTTCCCCCGGAGGGCCCGCTGAAGTTCAGACGGCCGCTGGGCAGCAGCTTGGCGCGGGCAGCGGTGAGCCCGCGCGGCAAGTAGCGGCTGAGCAGCAGCCTGGCGCGGGCAGCGGCCAGGCTGCGCCGCCTCGCTCCTAGCCCGTCTGTCAAGCCACGTGTAGTGGCATCAAGTATGATTTTCAAGTCATTAATCTAACCCAGTGGTCTAAGCTTGCTCAGGGATCTCTCGCAGCTAAGGCTGCTAAGGCTGATGGGGCCGCCACGGCCAAGCGCCACGCGAGCGGCCCGAAGGCCTTCCAGATGAAGAAGTCTCGTAGATTCATGACATGGGCCCCCCATGTTCAGGATGCCTTGGCTTCTACAGGCGGAGGTACTCATGGAGGAGTTGCTGCCGCTGTCCAGCCTGGCTCGTGCATCCGTAAGTTTTTGATCCAGGCCCCGAGAGCGTTGCAAGTTGGTTCAAGAGAATGTCGGTTGTCCTGGAGATGCGATTGAAATCGTGCAATGCGGCTGTGGGAGTGATTTACCTGGTTCCGTCCATCGGGGCCTCGGGTGCAAATTCTGGTCGTCTTCGTGGGGTTGTTGAGTTTGTGCGAGGGCTCTCTATCCCGCGGCTTCTGCTGGGGGACATCAGCATGTCTGTAGATGTATTGGATGATTCTGGCATGTTGGAGCTTCTGTCTGCGAGGACGCGTTCGCCCGGCAATGTGCAGTTCATTTGTGCGGCGGGTGACACAATGATTGATTACGTCGTGTGCTCACGCGCCCTGCACCCATACCCGACGTTAAATGCCGACCTGAAACCCCCCTTCAAGACCCACGCGCGCCTCGGCGTGGCCCTCGATATGGAAGCACTGGTTGAGCCCGTCTGTCAGAGGAGCAAGCACCGTGAGATCCCTGGGGCCTCGGGCCCTGATAATCACTGGCGAACAGACGTAGCTGAAGCTAGTTCGAGTCTCTTGGAGGCCCCCTTGGCGATGCCCGGCGATATGGTTTCATCGCTTCCTGAGCACGCGGTAGACCACATGTCTGGTGATTCAGGCATGCCGCATCTCACGCGGCCACGTGCCCTCGAATTGCAAGCATTATTTCGCGCGCGCTGTCGTGGGCGACGCAAGGTTTTTCCGCGGCCGAGGCCCAATGTTGAAACTTAAAGACAAGCCCCAGTGATTCGCGGTGCACTGGCGCGGAGTTTTCGGAACCCCGATCTGTCACACTGGTCGTTGGTCTCGGCCCGTCTTTTGAGCTGTGGAAGTTGTATCGCACATGTCAATGTTTCGGATGCTGCTCGGCAACATCGCAGTGTTCTGTCTGGTCTCGCCGCCGAATCGTTCTCTCACGCTGCACCGGCGGCGTCTTCCACCGAGGCGAATGCATGGCAGGAAAGACTCGATAACCCCCCTCGCGGTTTGGATGCGCTTCGAGAAGTGGTTGATGCCGCAGGCGCCGTCTGTTCTAAGGCTTGGTCACAGGCCCACATCATGACGAAGAAGAGCATGCTTACGTGGTTGAAAGCTTCTCTGCCAAGAGGAGCTCGACCTGTCCACGGTTATCTGAAGGCTCAGGACAAGGCTTGGGCGGAATATTTTGAGACTAAATCTGGCATCGTGAATACCCAGGGATATATGATGAAACATTTCGAAGATACGTGGGCGTCTTGGTGGACCCCGAATCCTCAGCAAGCTAGGCGTTTGAAAGCCGGTTTGAATGAACTGCGCTCATTGGCGATGGCTTCTCCTGAAGAGCACCCACCTCTTGAGCTTCGCGATGTCGCTCGTGCTTGTACGCGTTTCTCTGCTACGGCGGCAATCGGCGTCGACCTCTGGAAGCTTCGTCTCTTTCTGTCTGCGCCAATCGATGCATTGGAAATGTTGACTGGCATCTTGAATATGGTTGAGGCAACCTTGAGTTTCCCGCCGCAGTGTTACGCACGCATCAGGGCTCTGCCCCCCAATTCTATATGCGACGAACGAGCAGCGGCAAAGTCCCCGACCCCAGAGTGAGCTCATCCACTTGGCCTCCAATCAAGGGCGCCCTGGGCACCTCCTGCATTTTGGGCCCCTCGTCCAAACTGCTCCGAGGATTCTTGAAGTGTCTGGGAGACTGCCACGTGCGATTGCGGCGGGGGGCATATTCTTGCTGGGCGTAGCCAGAGCACGCCCTGGGTCAAGTGCCACCTGCACGGCGCCCTCGAGAAGGGTCACCATATCATCCCCAGAGGCCCTGGAGATAACCCATATGTTAGAGCACCTGTCAGGTCTTATGTTGATGACATTGCTCAGTTTCTGAATTGAACCTATGCGTTTATCTGCGGGTATCTTTCGCCAGCTGCTGCTGAATTTGCTGCTGATATCTCTGACTTGGGCTGCGCGGTCAGCGACAGGTCACGCGCAGCGGCCTCGTCCGTCGAGCTGGAGAGGTTGATCAGTGAAGAATTTCGCAGGGTCGGTGCAGATGTTAAGTTTGCTCGGGCTGTGAAAGACCTCGGTACCATTACCACGGTCAACCAGAGGCGTGCTGCATGGAAAATCCACCAGAGGAGGAACCTATCGTTTCGGCGCGGGCGGAAGCTTGCGCATCTGCGTTCCTTGCGCGGCGCCTCTCTGGCGTTTCTCAAACCAGGGGTCCTGGCCGCGGAGTCCTGGGGCCATGGAGCTCTCAGGCAGATTCGCGCCTGGGCGGCTGCCTGCACCGCTGTGCACTTCAGGATTATAGCGATGATCCGATTTATCGGCTACGCGTGGAGCAGCTAACTATGTCATCGGAAGTGCGGTCTAGTCTGTCTGACGGTCTTAAGAATTGAGTTAGACGTTCCTGGAATCAGTTGCACGAGAAGCTTGGTAAGGTTGCTCAGTGCAATCGCTGGAGGCATGTTCGTGGGCCTGTTGCAGCTGCCTACGCCACAGTTTTAGATCTCGAGTGGGAACCACGAGAAGTTGATCATTGGATCGTCGAAGGTAGAGCACCTCTCAGAATGAATGAACCAGATTTCAGGTACCACCTCAAGTCATGCGCACGCGAGAAGTGCTCTGCCGCCGCGCAGGCCAATGCGCCCCAGCACAGCGCTTCGACGAAAGCA